CGGCCAGGAGTCCCTAGTAGCGTCCTTGCTCCTAGTAGTACGGCCAGAGGTGTTGGGCTCGAGCCCTTCCGCGGCGCACCTGTGGCCCCGCTACCACCGGTGTAGTGGGGTTCGAATCGAGCCATGATATCCCATCGGGGGGCACACGATGGATATGCAAGGCATCTGATCCAGCCTACATCCTTATGGCACCCGCTGCAAAAGGCTGAAAATCGAACAGATAAGGTCTTGCTGCGAGGACACACCTATGCAGTCGTTGGTTGCTCTGCACGGGACGGGTCTATGTACAGTCTCAAGGTCTCCAATACAGTATTGCAGTACCTGAGTTCTTCGGAGTACAGGTTGCTTTACACCTGGAAGATCTGCGGACGGACTCAGTTGGGCATCGTTTTGCCTACTGAAGGTCATGATACATTGGATCCATTTTTGCATCACGACAAACCTCAGGTGCCGTCAGGGTACTCAGATCCTTCATACAGCCCAATCCCCGAATACTTTGAACCTTGGGCCCAAGATTTCGCGCGACATGAGATGAATGCTGGCTATGGCCAATGTCTGGAGGATTCAGCTCTTTGGGAACCGTGGTGCTGGCGTTTTGCAAGTTGCTGCAGCCACTAGTGGGGAGACGGCTCCCACAAAAGGGTCGATGATCTCAACAAATTCAACGCAGTCTACGCATGAGAGATTAGCTTGCAAGATCTTGTTCTCAGACTCACCGATGAGTGGGGTGACTGCTCCCACGGAAGAAGCAGATGACTCTTTGTCAGAGCCTTGGGCCCTGATACATACCAATGCTTTATCAGGACGAAACTTGGCGATGCCTACCTCAGCAGATGAGGACTACGAACCATGGAGTTGTCGCTTCACAAATCCTCAAATCAGCACCTCCGTAGCCATTTCTTGCAGCGAAACCGTGGGACATCCGACGTCCACACGTCAACACAGGTCGATTCTCTCCCGTCTAGCTTCATGGGTTCATGCATCGTGTTCGTCCCAGTCAACTTGTCATGCTGGAATCATCTCACCGTTGCTATGCCTGCTTGGGGGGGCGACCGAGTCTACAAGTGTTGAGCTGAGCACGACTTTAAGGGGGGTCACGACTTTCCAAGAGAGTTTTGGCAGAGGTTCAAATTCGTGGTATGACGGAAGGGCACACCAGGCACACCCTGGCACTGACCATGACTGTGTATTCAGTTCTGTTGGATTTCCAATCGGGCCGGATTCAAAGTCTCCGCCTTTGGGTGATCGGTCACGTGCAGACCCTTCAGAAACACATACTTCAGATCCGAGCTTACCAATTTTGTATTCACGCCCCGATGCCTTTCATGCACGTGCGACAGAAGTCGAACAAATTCAGTTTGCACGTCCAGATATAGATCATATTGCTTCTTGTGAGACAGTTCGTAATGACTTGTTCACCAAGCAATCCACCTGTCCGACTGGCTCTTGGGGTGAGAATTTTCAAGCAGGTTGTATAGCTTTCTTAAAAGCTGTACGAGATGTCGCCATTCCTCCCTGCTTGTTCTTTTCCCATCAAAGGTCGACTTGTTGTGTTTTTCGACACAATACATCCAGAGTTCCAGAAACCCGACATATGACATCGCAATTCAACAGGTCAAAGCAGGCGCCCATATTTTGGTATGCAGGATCCTGCAAATCAGGAGATCACCATATCGACTTTCAAGCTCTACAGCATACGACCATCTCCAGAGGGGCTGTACCCGAGTTGACAACCACAGAGAAGCATTTGCAGAAACAATCTGCTATGCAGACCAGACAGTACAATGCTATTCCTTTTGCTACACCAATGGATGCTGGTGATCTAAATTCGATCACTACGCTTCTTCGAAGGTTTACCAACGCTTCTTCTAGTTGGCTACCGTTGGCGCAATCGAACACAGCAATGCCGAGTTCCGTTGGAATTCAGGACACTCTGTGTCCTCTTGTCGCAACCCGCACTGACATTGACCAATGCAAAGATTCAAATTTTTTCTTGTCCTCTTCAGTACCTTCGCCATACATAACGCCTGGTATATCCCCGTGTGCATTTCCCCTACGAAATTGGGGGGGTTGAGTCCACTAACAAAAAGTTTTTGGTAAGAAAACTACCTTTTGGCTAAAAAATTTCGGGGTCATTTAGTAGTACAAAACAAGGTTGTGGAGCTGATAAGACATCAAACCCCTACCATATGGTAAGGACATTTCATATGTGCTAAGAATCTAAGCTAACCATGAGCGCGTGCATTTAGTAGGGAGTATTATGTTTTGAACAAGCCAGATCACTGCATTTTGTAGTGAAAATGGACGTTTTCTTGGGAAGTGATTTAAAATAATGGTCAACATTTGTAGAGAGTTTAGATAGAAAAGGAAGAGGCCTTCATCTGAGGAAACGGAGATTCCATGTTCAAATCACTATTTTTTGTTTCAAGCACAGGTATTTTGTAGACTCTTCTCAACACCCTCTCATTTTGTAAGGTAGAGAGTTTAGATAGAAAAGGAAGAGACCTTCATCTGAGGAAACGGAGATTCCATGTTCAAACCACTATTTTTTCAAGCACAGGTATTTTGCACACTCTTCTCAACACCCTCTCATTTTGTAAGGTGGAGAGTTTAGATAGAACAGGAAGAGGCCTTCTCCTTGGCACTTCCTGATCCGCATAGCTTGGCTATGCGGACTGGCCATGCTCCTTCTCAGAGGTGGGTTGCTAGAAGGAAGCATGTGGTGTCCGAAATAGGCAGACCTCCGCGAAATGAGCGGACAAGAGTCGGGGCCTTGCATTTCTTGGGGCAGCGAGCAGGATTGAAAGGGGGATCGTGGGATGTACTTTTTTTCAGGATGCAACGGGGGATCCCATTTTGTAGTTGTTTTTGTGTCTTTTTCCTTGTCTGGGGATGTGGATTTTGTAAGGGTAATTTTTGGTATGTTTTTTTTTTAATATATGTTTTCTTGTCAGGTACGGTCATTCTTTAGCCCCAGGGTTGGGTACAGTCATCATTTTTTGTTGGGTTGGTCCCATCAATTTAGTAAGAAAATAATAAGATCCTAGATGGTCATCCAATCATTTTGTAGTCTGTTTATTCCTCCAAATCCTATCATTTTGTAAGCCTATATGCATGCACACTCATTTTGTAAAGGCAATTCCTTACTAAATTGGATCCCCAACCCAACCTTGTTAATATTAACGGGGATCCTGGTATTGCACAGTCCACAAATATTGAAGTTTCTGCAGAAGTGTTTCCTACACGGATTCTGGAGCTTCATTCACCATTTCCGACAGAAGCAAGCGCCTATCACCAAGAGTATCTTGGAGGACATTTTGGATACCGCCTTCAACGACCACCGCAGACCACTATCTCAACAGGGGCTGTACCCGATCCGACCGCATTGATTCAAGAGCTACAGCATTTGACAATATATAGCGGGGCTGTACCCGGTTACAACCTCACGTGTTTTGACGAGGCGGTGTCAATGGTGTATGGGTTGGAGCAGTTGCCTTACAGGCTGGATGAACACAGACCTGTGTGCATGAACAAGTATGGTCAGGGAGAGTTATGCTTATCAATTTCCTATGTCTTCCACAGAGATGCGCAGCTCTCAGGTGATACAGATTTCGATCAAGCAGTGACTCAATGCTTGTCAGATGAGTTCATCCTTTACCTCAACGCTTTGAGCTCCACTGGATCTCAAGATGATCATGCTAGTGCCGAACCAACTAGCTTACAATCTGAAGCATTGTCTCAACATCAGTATGATTCGTCAGCCTCACATCGTGTTTCTTTGCGGACATTTGGTGACTGCAGTTTAGGCGATCTATTTCAGGTACCATTCCAAAGTTCTTCATCCGAAGGGGCTGTACCCGATCCAAATGTATATGATCCAGGTCAACTACAGTTTACCATATCTCGAGGGGCTATACCCGTCTTCAACATCGATTGGTCTCAGACATTCAGATTGTTTCAGACCACGGGAGAGCAAGTAGTCGTGTCCGCTAGGCGAGACGTCGATGAGGATTTGTGGAAGAGATATTCTCAGAGCGATGTTGAAGATTTTGATACTTTGTCCAGGTTCGATTTCAGTGCAATGGGAAGCGCACCAACAACTCTGCAATATCAGAACATTGATATTTCCACAAAAGTGGAACAGAGTGAAGGTGATCCTCTACCATTTCTCAACCTGTCAACAGTGTCAATTGATTATCGTGACTTACCATCTTTTCCTTGCGACACAGTTCGCACAATCTGGGCGCCTGCCAACATCCTACAAGATACAGTCATCTTTTCTGACAAGAACCGACATCGGCTACACCAAGAACCACTACAGGACACTACCTTTAGAGGGGCTGTACTTTTTTTGACTTGGTGCAGAATAGATCTTCTCGAAGATGCTCTCCACAGATTCATTCATGTGGTTTCCCAACTATGGCCTTCCGCTTATCTCGAGATCTGCAATTGCCACCTCGTTTGCAAGTAGCGTTTGCGGACTACTCTCCCACGCTTGTGGATTATGACGAGGCAAAAGAGATATTGTACTGCCACCAACATCGTACTGCCAGCTTATGGCCCAGTAACTCGCACCATGTACGACTATCGCAAGAGTCACATTTGTACTTGACAGCATCAAAGTTTACAGCGACAACACCTTTGTGTGCTGATGACCCAGCCATGATGCTGCAACTTCTCCGACAGTCTTCCGCCTTCAGCGGAACTGTGCCCGTCATCGATCATGTATCTTATGCCATTTATGGAGAGGAGCGTCCCGTGTGTGGCCAATGTGACATGACTCACGTGGAGCTTCATCCGCCCTTCGTGGAACGCTATGCTGCAGACACACCCGATAGTGGCTGGCCGGCCCCCGACGAGACAGCAGATTCACTTTGTCAGATAACCCTTGCACACCGCAACTTA